AAAAAAAAAAAAAAAAAGATTTTCAAAGCTTAGCATTTCTAGTGATAAGCGGAGAAGAAAATTATCTGAGGAGAATCCGCATCGTGGGAGTGATCACCTTCAAACGGAGTCCTGTCACACGTTTTTGAGAGTTGGAGCCAGGAAGTACTATTTACTTGTCAGAGTATAATTACAAGAAGAAAGACCGTCTTAAATGATGCTCATTGCCTTAGGGTCAAGAGAAGGCCAGATGCTGTCGTGGTGGGCACAAGTTTGGAGAGGGAATAAGAGACATTCCAGGATCAATTTAAGAACAGCTTCTGCCCGAGGGCATGTACCTCACGTTCATTTTCCCGGAGATATTGGGTCCCAGCACAGTACGGTAATTTAGCACATTAAATTAATGGTGACATCACAACGATTTAATTTGTGAATTTGCTGTCTACAGTTGTATGAGATCTACAAACACTAGAAATTAATGCCTTATTTTATTTTAGTAATATCAGATGGTTTTTTTTTTTTTTGAGACAGTCTCATTTTGTTACCCTTGGTAGAGCGCTGTGGCATCACAGCTCACAGCAACCTCCAACTCTTGGGCCTAAGCGATTCTCCTGCCTCAGCCTCCCTAGTACCGGGACCACAGGCGCCCGCCACAATGCCTGGTTTTTTGTTGTTGTTGCAGTTGTCATTGCTGTTTTAGCTGGCTTGGGCTGTGTTGGAACTGCCACCCTGGGTATATGGGGCCGGAGCCCTACCCACTGAGCCACAAGCGCCGCCCCCAGATAGTTTAATTGACACTGGGTTCTGATTCTTTATCAAAGTTTGAGAATTATCTTAGTAACTGGTGATAGTAATTCCAAGCTGGAGAGCCAGGCACCTGTTTCAGAAAGATCATTGTGGTGGTGTGTGGAGGTATGGAGACTGGTTAGAAAGTAGTCTGTGACAGTTGTTCAATCAGGAGAGGATGAGGAACTGAATAGGATAAGAATAATAAAGAGGGAGAGGAAGAAAGATACAACTAGTATGGGAGGTAAAATGGAAAATCTTGCTGATAGTATCCAAAGTCAGTCAGCCAGGATAATACATTTCTTAGCTTAGATGACTGGGTGACATCAACAGATTTTTTAAAAATCCAGGAGGAAAGGTTGGGGTGGGTGGGAGGTCATAAGCAAGGAGGATGATGGTAAAGGAAACCATGAGAGAATTTGCCATCATCCAGAGCAGGTGTACTGGGGAAGAAATAGGCTTACAGCAGAGTCCTGGGGAACTTAAATAACATTAAATAGTAGGTGGAAGAAAAGTCATGAAAGAGAAGAAATGAGCTGAAAAGGTAAGAAGAGAATCTAGAAAGCCTGGTGCAAATGAAATCTGAAGAATGGAGAGTTTAGGAAAAGGGAAATAATGAACTGCATCAAATAGTGTAAAGTGGTCAGCTAAGAAGTTTTAAATGTTCCCCGAGTTAGGCTGTTTAGAAGATCCTTTTGTTGTTGCTTTTCAAACTTTTTATAATAGGAAATGTCTCTCTCTCTCGCTCTCTCTCACACACACACACACACACAGAACAGTGAACCCTTATTTACCTTGAGTTAGTCAGACCATTTTGTTGGATACCTGTAGTGTGCAACAGTTTACCCTTGCCTCAGTTGTACTGTTGTCATGTGTGACCTGGCCCAGGTGAAAGTACCTGCTGTCATGTGCCTTCCATGCAAGCCATTCTCCAATGAGCGGTTCATGGCCAGTCTTGTTTCATCTATACTCCTGCCTTTTTCTCTCAGCCTAATTATTTGGTGCATATTTCTGACATTATATCATTTCATCAGTAAATATTTTGGTATGTTATCTCATCAAACCAAAATTGTGGCATTATTGTCACACATAAATAAATAACAATAGTTCTTTAATTTTTTTTTTTTAAATAAGAGAAAGGGCTTTATTCACTGGCCAGCAGCTTATGATATAGAAGAATTCCAAATGGCTGCACTCCTCGACTGCCTTGGTCTTTCCCTTTTTATCTACAGTCAAAAAATTCCACCCCACAGTTACCTTTTTCTTTTTCTTTCTTTCTTTCTTTCTTTTTTTTTTTTTTTTTTTGCAGTTTTTGGCCAGGGCTGGGTTTGAACCTGCTACTTCCGGCATATGGGGCTGGCGCCCTACTCCTTTGAGTCACAGGTGCCACCCCACAGTTACCTTTTTCATTGGCCAGTTTGAATTAAGGAGGAGATGCTATTCCAGCCCCCACAGAACTATAGGATTTCACAGAAGTGGAAATTTCTGAGTTCCAGGAAATTAAGTCTATACATTCCCAAGAGCTGAGTCACCATGGAGAGGACCCTGCAGGTGTATCCTTGTGGTCTCTTTGAGAAGAATAGTTCCTTAATATTATCTAGTATACAGTTGTTCACATTTTCCTTATTCTCTTATGTTTGATTTTTTAATTGTTTATTTGAATCAAAATCTAAATAAGTCCATATGTTGCAGTTTATATGTCTCTGAAATCTTTTTTAACCTCTTAAGTCTATTCTTTGTCTTTTGTTCTTTTTTTTTTTTTTGAGACAGAGTCTTGTTATGTTGCCCTCAGTAGAGTGCTGTGGTGTCACAGCTTACAGCAACCTCAAACTCTTGGCCTTAAGTGATTCCCTTGCCTCAGGCTCCTGAGTAGCTGGGACTACAGACACCCGCCATAACGCTCAGCTATTTTTTGGTTGGAGTTGTCATTTTGGGGGCCCGGGCTGGACTCGAACTCACCAGCCTTGATTTACATGGCTGGCACCCTACTCACTGAGCTACGGGACCGAGCCTGTCTTTTGTTCTTGCTAATATTGTTTTTAAAAAGGTCATTTGTCCTATAGAGTTTCTCAAAGTCTGAATTTTGTGGAGGTTCTACTGGTGTAATTTAGCCTGTTCCTCAGTCCCCTGTATACTATGTAAATTGGTGGTGAGGGACCAATTTAGTTTTATTTAGTTTGATTATTTTGGACAAGTTATTTTATAGGTGGTTTTAGTACTTCTATCAGGAGGTATACAATGATGTTAGGGACTGATGATTATCATTGCCAATCCTGGCACTGTTGACATTTGGGGCTGGATAATTCTTATTGTGGGGCTGTCCTGTGCATTAGGATGTTTAGGAGCATCCCAGGCATTTGCCCAATGGATGACAGTAGCATTCCTTCTCCATTGTGACAGCTAAAAATGTCATTAGACCTTGCCAGTTGTCTCTTGGGGCATAAAATTTTCCCTGATTAGTAATGACTACTCTAGGTTCATTAATATGGAAATTAAAGCTAGACCCATAGTCCCTGTGACTTGGGAAGCTGAGGAAGGAGGATCACTTGAGCCCAGAGTTCAGCTTAGACAACATAGTGTAATCCCATCTCTGAAAATACTTTTTTTGAAAAAATAAATAAAATATAGGAGTTAGAAAATATTTTCATTTTACCATTTCTTTTTTGTTTATTGGCTAGAATACTTCCTTAAAGAGAAACTTTTCCACATTAACCATTGGTTACCCAGAGATATATTTCATAGGAAAAGCAGGATAAGGCTCGGCGCCTGTGGCTCAAGTGGCTAAGGTGCCAGCCACATACACCTAAGGTGACGGGTTCGAATCCAGCCCTGGGCCCGCCAAACAACAATCATGGCTGCAACCAAAAAAAAAATGGCCAGGCATTGTGGCGGGTGCCTGTGGTCCCAGCTACTTAGGAGGTAGTGGCAGGAGACTTGCTTGAGCCCAGGAGTTGGCGGTTGCTATGAGCTGTGATGCCATGGCACTCTACCCAGGGGGACAGCTTGAGGCTCTGTCTCAAAAAAAAAAAAAAAAAAGCAGGATAAATGCTTGTTTCCCTTTTATTTTACTAGCTTCGAAAGTTGACCAATGACATTTTATTCCAGCACATTATGAACTTGTGATATGCTCAATCATTGTGGGTCTTATTAATTTTGGTGCTTAAATTGTCCTCTTTTGGCCAGTGAGGACTTGTTCATTAATTTTTTATTTTTATTAATTTTTTTTTTTAGAGACAGAGTCTCACTTTGTCACCCTGGGTAGAGTGCCATAGCGTTATAGCTCACAGCAACCCCCAGCTCTTGGGCTTAGATGATTCTCTTACCTCAGCCTCCAGAGTAGGTGGCCACCACAGGTGCCCACCACAACCCCTGGTGCCCGCCACAACCCGTGGCTATTTTTTGTTGCAATTTGGCTGGGACTGGGTTTGAACCCACCACCCTCTGTATATGAGGCCAGCACCCTACTCACTGAGCCACAGGTGCCGCCCTGTTCATATTTAATTTAAATGATATTAAATTAATTTAATATTATTTGATAATATTAAATAAAACATAAGTTTGAGTTGAGACCAGCCTCGGCAACTGTGTCTCTCCAAAAAAGTTTAAAAAATATTAGCTAGGGCA